GGCACAGAGTTCCTCTGGCTTTATAGTACTTGGTACTTTGGATATTTGTCCCTGTGGGTGTACTGAGACCTGTGTATGCCTTTACAAGGTTTCAGTTTCTGACATGTAAATCTTCTCTTGTGAAAGAGAATTCCTCCCTTTGAGTAATAGAATTAATGTCATCTCATACGGTTAGTCATTTCATATTTCTGTGCCGACCCTTTTATTTTTCTATTTTTAAGTATAATTTTTAATTGTTTGAGAATTTCATACATACATACAATGTATTTTGATTATACTAATACCCTAGTTCTCCCCCTAACTCTTCCCAGGTCTGCCATATCCCTTCAACCCCTTCCAACTTTACGGCTTCTTATTCTTTATAACTCATTGAGAAATGGGTGTGGGGCCAACCATTAAAGTATGGTCAATCTACCAGGGATCACACTGCTAAAGAAAATGGACTCTTATATTTATGGTTGTGAGCCTAGCCTGAGGGGAGAGCAGCCTTACCAGGCCACAGAAGATGACAATGCAGCCACTCCTGATGTGATCTGATAGACTAAGATCAGAAGGAAGGAGAGGAGGACCTCCCTTATCAGTGGACTTGGGGAGGGGCATGCACGATGAAGGGGGAGGGAGGGTGGGACTGGGAGGGGAGGAGGGAGGGCCTTATGGGGGGGATACAAAGTGAATAAACTGTAATTAATAATAAAAAATACAATTTTAAAAAGAAAAAAAAAAAGAAAATGGACTCTCCCTCAATCGCTAGCCATCAACTGTCAGTAGCTTTTCAGTTAAGGATAGAGGGTTGTGAGCCCCTCCCTCCTCCATGCTGGAATGTTGTCTGGCTGGATCTTATGTAGGCAACCACAGCTACTGTGAGTTCATAAGGACATCAATTCTGACATGTCCCAGAAACACTTTCACTCAAGCCTTCCCCAGTCTCTGGCTCTCACAACCTTCCCCACACCTCTTTCACAATTGTCTCTGAGACTTGGGTTGAAGGGTGGGATGTAGATGTCCCATTTATGACTTAAATCTCAGCATTTTGACCAGTGGCAAGTTTCTTCTTTAATCACTGTTCACTGTACAAGGAAGATTCTCTAAGGAGAAAGGAGAGCTGCAGTAATCACGTATTAAGATATGTATTTAGAGGTTAGTTTGATACTGTACTCATTTCATAAAATATAGTAAGTTTACCCTACAGTCTATGAACTCCACAGCCATAGGTTTTAGTCAGAATTGTAACCAGTAGGTGTACATTTCCTCTTGTGGAATGGGCCTTAAGCCCAACCAGAATGTAGTTGGTTATGCCCACAACATTCATGCTACTGTTATATACATGGTCGTATCTCAACAGCTTTTTAACAGTGCTCAAGACATTTTCTCCATAGCAGGCTATAGAGCACTTTCCAGTACTGTGAAACCTACCTAGCAGGAAGGACATTTCCAGTCAGGACCAGCTTGATTTGTCCATGTACTGTGAGCAAGGGGTGTGCTGTTTTCATCAATAGGGTCTTAACATCAATTCTGGTAGGACACCAGAAGCAATGTGTGCCACCCTTTTTATAAAAAACATAGTCCCTGATTCTGCTTCCTTGGCATTACATTATGCTTATTTCTTATTGTTATTGCATTTAGATTTCTAAAAACTATCTGAAATGCTTGGGTATATGAAACTTCGTCTATTTGTTCAAAATGCAGTCATTAAAACATATTACTTCCAAGAGTATTAATACACTACAAAATACAATACAAAAATTAAAATGGGGGCCAGAGCTTTTATTCATGCATGTATGCCATAGTTTTTTGTTAGACAATTTTATCTTGACCCTCTCTTCTGCCTTTAAGCACTAGTCCTTTCATGTACTTTCATTACTCAGTTTTAAGAACAATTTTTTTTTTTACAAACTTTCCAAATACCCAGGGAATTTTAGCAATGCCTTTTAGATAATGGGTGGTAAACTGGATTTTTACTGTTACCAAATTATATATAACTTATATATAATCTTTTGGAATCTATATGAACTTAAAATGGTATGCAATGTATATATTTTATGAGACAATCAGGAAGTACGAATTATTTAAATTTGCATGTATTCATATACCAATTTAATAAATGTGTATTGTGTTATAGAAATAGAATATATTTTATAGAATAGATAAAATCTATATATTAATAGAAATAGTGCTCAAACAAAAACTCAGAGGTTCTTCATCTATATTTTTACCTTACCAGAAAGGCAGAAGAATCTTGTCCTTGCCACTTAGTTGTTGCTCAACCATGTTTGTAGCAGGTTTACTTGTAATAGCCAGGAGCTGGAAACAACCCAGGTGCCCCTCATTTGAGGAATGGACACAGAAATTGTGGTACATTTACACAATGGAATACTACTCAGCAATTAAAAACAAGAAAATCATGAAATATTCAGGCAAATGGTTGGAATTAGAAAAGGTCTGAGCGAGGTATTTCAGAAGTTGTTGGAATTTGAATAACCTCTCTGGGCTTTGGCTTCCTCCTTTGAAATATGGGCATTGGGATGGTGCCCACCTCACAGAATTATTGTAAGCTTTAAATGTGATCACATATTTAAAGCGATTAGGATAGTACCAGGCACCTAAGTGCCCAATAAATGGTAGCTATTATTAACCTGTCTTGCATCAGGAATGGAGACTCCAAATCATCCTCATGTCTGGGATTCAGATAATTTAATTCTGTGTAACACAATCAAGTTTTTCTTCTTCTATTCCCAGAATGAATGAAAAATAAGTGATTAAGATCTTACATGTCATAACTTTTCACAAACTATCTCAAGACCATTCCATTCGTTTAAGCCCACCACTGATTAGCTGAACAAGGATGACGACTGAACCAATTGATACAAGTGAAAACATTTTGTAAACTGTAAAGTGGTATTCGAATATTATGACCATTTTAATTGTTTTAAAATCCTATTTCACTAGGTTCATTTACCTTTTTTCTGCCAGTTGTGTCTTTGTTTCCTAAACTGTGTAGCTTTACAATATCATTAATATGCTAAAGTTATCTCTCAGCAAAGCAGCATTTCCCTACCATCCTGCTGTAGGTTCAGTCCCTAGCACTCCCTCCCTATCCACACACTTAAACACAAAATCGAATCTGGTCATGGCTGCCCATGCTGCTAAACACTCAAAAGTCTAAGGTAGGAGGACTGCTACAAGTTCAGGGCCAGCCTGTGCTCCAGTCAAACTTAGGCTACAGTGTGAGAGCTTGTCTCAAAAAGCCAAGACTGATACAACCAAACCAAACATCCCAATATTATTAGCATGAAGTTAAGATTTTAGCACCGAGCTCCTGTCCCCTCCAGGTCTTTCTATCTCCCCTTTCCCTGCACTCTGCCCAAAGTTTGGCTATGAGTCTCAGCATCTGCTTTGATACCCTGCTGGGTAGAGCCTTTCAGAGGCCCTCTGTGGTAGACTCCTATCCTGTTCCCTGTTTTCTCCTACTTCCAATGTCTATCCCATTTTCCTTTGTGTATGAGGATTAATCATCTTACCCTGGGTCCTCCTACTTGCTTAGCTTCTTTAGGTGTACAGATTTTAGTATGTTTATCCTATATATCTAATATCCACTTATAAGTGAGTATATCCATGTGTGTCTTTCTGCTTCTGGATGACCTCACGCAGGATGATCTTTTTTTTTCTCTGACATGAACTCAGTGGCTGACTCTTTGATCACCTCCCCCTGATGGGGGAGCAGCCTTACCAGTTCACAGAAGAAGACAGTGCAGCAAGTCCAGATGGGACCTGATAGACTAGGGTCAAATGGAAGGGGAAGGAGGACCTCCCCTATCAGTGGACTTGGAGAGGGGCATGAGAGGAGATGAGAGAGAGAGGGTGGGGTTGGGAGGGAATGAGGGAGCAGGCTACAGCTGGGATACAAAGTTATTAAACTGTAATAGATATAAAAAATAAAAATAAAAAGATTTTAGCACTGAGTAGGACTCATTAAGTGGTGCTAAAAAATTCTAAATGAGAAGGTAAGTGTTGCGAGCTGCAGAAGCAGTGTTAAAAGTGTGTTGAAATGAGTATAGCATCAATACTATCTAAAATGAAAACACTGATTTGGATGTATTCTGAGATATTTGTTTTAAGAAAATAAGCTTCTGTATGTTACATCTGTAAATCAGCTGAGGACTTGGGCTAACAGCCAAATTTAATACACTGTACATATTCATATCAGGTTATCATAAAAATAGTTAAAAACAATGATTTATGTGCACATTTGGTTCAGTCAGGAAAGCGATTTATCAAAGCCATAAACACTTAGCATTTTGCTCTTTTTTTATTTTTGGACTTTAGTTGTGTTTTTTAATTACAGAGCTGTAGTTTGTCTGCTGTTATAAGAAACATACATACCATTAAGCATGCTTGCTGATTTCAAGCATGAAAGATGACAGACCAGGCCTGGGAAAATGGAAACATAGGGCAGAAAGTAAAGTATTCTTATATAACTGACTCCTCTTGACTCTTTCTTGAATGCCATAGTCAGCATGGGAGCAGATAAATGACCTTTAGCACAGCAGCATGAAGAACACAGGGGAAGGGGGCCATGGAGAGGCTGTTCCTAGATTCTGCTGCACCAAAGTCTGTCTAGAGTCATAAAGGATGCTAATTGCTTGAGTAGTCTGAATGGACAAGAGATGCTGTGGGAGGCTTAGCTGCCCTTGTTTCCTCAGGACAGTTAATCTGTAGGGTTTTGTTTCCTTTTGTTTTTGACAGTTATATGTTGCCAAGGATTAGAAAAGGGAGAAGAATTCACTTAGTCATTGGTATTAGTGACTTAGACCTTTTCGGCAATCAGGGATCCAGGTGAGAACTAAGATTTTAAGCTAGTTCTGCCCACGCTTATGTCCACAAATATTAGGGACACTACAGCTGCAAAGGTGAGTGCCCTTACTCATCTGAGGGCTCTGCCACGCTTATCTATCCCTCCCCCATTTGCATTTCTCCTTACAGCATCTCCCCACCAACACAACATGTCTATAAATGAAGAAGAGCCGGACATCTTTCAAAGTTTTCAACTAAGCAGCGGGTTTGTCCTCAACACTGATATGATGAAGGAGAAAATGGAAGCAGAGAATTTAGGACCATCACCAGCTTCCACTGCTATAGAACCCAGCCTCTTCAGAAGACCCATCAACAACCCTTTGTTCAATGGATTTGGGTGAGCAGGGTGGATGTACCTGAGGGCAAAGGGAGGGGGTGTTGGACAAAATGACATCTGATAGAATCTCCCTGCTTTTATATATCAAGGTCTTACGAGCGTATTCCACATCCCTGTTTTCTAAAGATCCCACCTCAGCCTAGTAGAGGAGAGGGAGTGGATGGGCCAAACTGAGGGACTGCATTCACCCCACCCTCAGGTTAACACATATCTGAACATTCTCCTCTGAGGGATCTTCATGGACCCCACTATAGCCACCAATTGGTGTGGAACATGACATTTCACCTTATCTCTTAGCCACTCCATTGAAGAAGCTGAGCATCCCTCCACCCAGGCCTCCAGATTTGTTATGACTATTGCCTTTTCGTTTTCTCAGCTGACTTTGTCACCTTTGCTTGACCTTCACCTCCTGCACACTGAAGATGGAAATGGTTGTCAAGCAAATAAAAGTGGACTTTTTAAAATACCTAGTTTTTTCTGAAAAAAACAAACAAACAAACAACAACAACAAAAAAACCTTAGGTAGTACAGAAAGTTGATCTCTTGAATTATGCACTCTCAGTGGGTAATATCCCCCAGCCACAAAAAGAAGAAATAATTGGTTCAGAACTATATTTTACTCGTTTGTTGTGCAAAGTACAGGTAGACATATGGTATATGATCAGTTAAGTGGTGCATAAGTAGTTGTCTTAGTTATTTCTTTTTGTTGTGATAAAACACCACAACCACAGCAACTTAAAAAAGAAACATTTAATTTGGGGCTGGTGGTTTCAGAGGGTTAGAGTCTGTGAGCATCCTGTCAGGGCATGGCAGCAGGCAGGCAAGCATGGCACTGGATCAGAGCTGAGAGCTCACATCTTGAGAAACAACCACAAGGGGGAATGAAAGAGGCATACTGGAGGTGGCTTCAGTCTTGAAACCTCAAAACAGTTCTCCAGTAACACACTGCCTTCAACAAAGCTGCACCTCTTTTTTTTTTTTTTTTTAAAGACAGGGTTTTGCTGTATAGCCCTGGCTGTTCTGGATTCACTTTGTAGACCACACTTGCCTTGAGCTCACAGAGATCCACCTATCTGTGCCACCCTGAGTTGCTGGGCTTACAGGCATGTGCCACCACCTCCCAGCAAAACTGCACCTCCTAATCCTCCCCAAACAATTCCACCAACTGGGTACCAAGTGTTCAAACATGTGAGTCCATGGGGAGATTCTCATTCAAACCACCAGACTGGTATTAATTTTGCTGTAGGGACTGAAAAGATAGTTCAGTGGGTAAACTGATTGATACACAAGCATGAAGATCTGATTCCAGAACCCCAGAGGCTGCAATAAAAGCCAATCATGGCAGTGAGGATTTGCAATGCTAGCACTTGGGATCCATAGACAGGTAGAGCCCAGGGACTTGCTAGACAGACAGACAGACTAGCTTAAATGATGAGCTTTGTATCTTTAATGTCTACCAGATAAATTACTATTAACACAGCTTTCTGTACAAATGTTACTTTATACAATAAAACCTGGAGCTATGGAATTTATCTCTAATTGCACATTAATATTAAATAAAATTCTCCAGTCCTGAGCACAACAAAGAAACCTAAGGAAAAATAACATCTCTCTGTGTGTTCTTCACTCTGTGTGTCATTGTTGGAGATCTTCCTCTATTGTCCTCCGCCTTACTTTTTGAAACGGGGCCTCTCACCAAACCAGGCACTTACCATTTCACCAAGTCAAAGCTTTTGACATCATTGGTGTTTTTACTCAAAACAAAAAGTATAATAAAGAGACAGACAGACAGACAGACAGACAGACAGGCACTTCTGATATAACCTACCAAGCACAGAAAAGCACAAGTCCTTGGGTTCAGTTCCTAGTATAGGGTAAGGAGTAAAAATTTGGAAGTAAAGTCGGGGGCATTGGTGTACACCTGTAATTCCAACACTCAGGAAGGCAAAGGCAGGAGGATCTCTGCGAGTTCAAGGCCAACCTGGTGTACAGAGTGAGTCTAGGACAGCCAAGCCAAGGCTACACACAAAAGAGAAACCATGTCTCAAACAACAACAACGAAAAACCCAACTCCCCCAAACAAAAACAAAAACAAACAAAGGAAGTAAATGATCTTGCTACATGAAGTTGTGTGAGGTGATGAAAAGAGAGGAGTGAGGATAAAAAGGGAAAAACCAAAACAGGATATTTGATTTGTTTGTTTTTGTTTGAGAGTCCCAGGAATTGAACGTAGAGCCTCAAGCCATCTACGTAAGCTCAATACACTGAATGATATGCTCAGCCCAGGAACTTCTTATAAGCAGTAGTACTGTCTTGCAGAGTTCACATCTAGAAAATTCGCTCCTCAGAAAATACAGACATTTTTTTATACATGGAATTTGATATATAATTAGAAAATCGCTTGTAAAATGTGACAGTGTTTAGCAAACTGCAGGTAGGATACATCTACTACTGGAAACATAGTTGGTAAAGTAGTGAGACACTAAGACTCTAAGGCATCAGTAAGGGAGTATGGTGCATGTGCAACTGGATCTCTAGGAGGGGAAAAGGAATTTGACTAAGGCTCAGTACAATCTTACTTTACACCAATTCTTCCTTCGGAGTAAGTCGGACCGCACCCTAACTCGGAAATATACTATAAACCACAAAAGAAGTCCTCACATAGGCAAGTCTCTAACTTCAGGCATGGAAGACACAAGTCCCATGTTATGTCAAATGTTTTGACAGCTGAGTGTGGTGGCTCATACTTGTAATCCCAGCACTTGGAAGGCTGGGGCATAAGGGTTTTTATACTATCAATCTCCGCTTAGCTTAACTGCTATGGCCAAAACTTTTGACAGAGTCTTACGGAACAGGCTGTGTTCAAACTGGTGATATCTTGCCTCCACCTCTGAAGTGTTGGGATTAGAGAACACCACACCTGGATTCAGTACTATATATAAGATAGTTTTCCAATACTACATTTATGGTAATTTTTCAATCCTACATTTAAAAGTAAAGTTTTTTTTTAAAGCCTTTTCTCTGCTCCTTATTTAAAAGATTAGAAGCTGGGATAGGGGTGTGACACTCTGACAGAGCCTAGCATGTATGAGACCCTGGGATTGATCCCCAGCATCACACACAGGCAAACATATCCACAAACCTACTTGAGCTGAATGTGAGTTCAAACCAGCCTATGCAGCTCAGTGAGTAAAAGGAGGGCTGAGAGTATATCTCAAAAGTAGAGCCTTGGCTACCATGTTTAATCCTCACTATGAAAGTAAAATAATAAATAAAATATTAATAATGGCGGTCACTGGTATTTAAAAGAATTAATTACTATTAATTGTGCATATTTGTGGGGTACAGCAAAATTATTCAACACATGTGTATGATATGTAAAAATCAAATCAAGGGAGTTGCTATTCCTATTTCCTTAAAACTTTTTAGTACAGATTAGTACAAATAATTGCATTTTCAGACTCTGTGTATAGTTCAAGTATATAATGTGTGCTGATCAAAGAAGAGTAACTAACATTTCTCACTCTTAGCTACTTTGTGTCTGTTGCCTCTAAGTTCCTCTCTTGTAGTTAGTTCTAAACTACAGACTAGGTTCCTGTGAACTCTGATTACTGTGCTATACTTGGCAAAAGAAAAACAGAGAAGCTATGTTTGGGTCAAGATCTTGATCTGAAATTTTTCTAGTCCCTGAAACCCAAAAGCATGTAGTCAGACTGTGGAGGGCTTTGAAAGTCTTAATAAAGACCTTGGTGTGACAGATCAAAGCCACTGAAAATTGTGAGCTAGAGAGCAAACTGTTCTTTAGGAAGGTGACCCTGGCAGTCCGCTGCAGAGTTTGGAATATGGCAAGAACAGAGGTGAGGAGGCCAAAGAGACCATTGTGTAGTTTGTGTGTAAGGAAAAATGCTTTGAAGTGTTTTTTGGCAACGATCCTAAGAGAGAATAAGATGGACAGAAAATAGAGTTGAGGGGTGCAGCGTAAAAGAATGACACTTGATTGGATATCAGCAGAAAGTAGAAAGTGTTAGAGTTTTGTTTTGTTTTGTTTTGTTTTGTTGGAGAAAGAGAGAGAGAACACTTCATATAGCCCAGGTTGGCTTCAGACTCACCATGTAACTGAGACTGGCATTGAATTCCTGATTCCCCTGCCTTTACCTCCCTAGTGCTGGGATTATAGGCATGTATTCCTGGCTAAATACGTTTTCTTATAGTCAATGGAGAAACCCGGATAAACAGTACACAGGAAGCATCTGTATTCTTCTGTGACTTCTTTGGAGTTAAGCCAAAAAGCTATGACAAAAAGGAACATAGAGGACTAAAGACTTCTTCTGGGTGACACGGTCAAATAAGATTTGAGGCCACCCGTGTAAGCCACAGGCAAGCTGGGAACATAAACTCCGGTTTCAGTGGGCAGTGGTTGGCTGCTCAGCTTGTCTGCTCCTATTTGCAGTGTGGGAATGTGGCCCGGTGTTGCACAAACTTGCAAACTTTCAGTTGAAGCAAGAAATATTGAGTCTGGGTTGTTGTTGTTGTTGTTGTTTAATGTGAAATCTCTTAGAGTAGGCAATTCAAGACCATTTTAATACCATAGGGCACAGCTTACCTGCAGACAATCACAGATCCTTTGAGCCCTGCTATTGGTTATGGTTCTTTATGTAATAGTTCAGACATTAAGAGAGGATCTGTGCTTGCACATTGTTGCTCTGATCATAAGATTAAATCAGTTACATGTTTATACAAAAAAATGGAGTATTTCCAAGGTTACAGTAAATTATGCTTATTCTCAGTAGAACAGTTAGAGGTAAAATGGCTTATCTGAAAATTTCTTACCTTATAAGGAAACTTGTTTAAGCCTAGCTGACTAAGTGCCCCTCCTCTGTGCGTGTGTGTCAGTGTGTGTGTGCATGCGTGTGCACGTGTGTGTGAAAACATCTGCATAGCTATTTCAGCCAAGAAGTCATTTATTGCATAGTGTTTCTCTTTAACTATAAGTTATGTTTTTTAAAAATTTGGTAATAGATTTTATATGTCCAATGTTTTCTTCTGTCTTAGTGATAATGCACAGAGATTCCAAGTTGAAACTTTAAGAATGAGAAGGAATGGCTCTCCATTTCTGAATCGCAATGCTTTGGTAAGAAAATGCTTATTATGGCATCCCTTTCTAAGACACGCTTCTTGGTCTTCAGGGGTGATTCTCAGACTTGAGTGTGGACTATGTAGGGCTTGCTGAAATGCAGCCAGGTCTCACCTTTCAGAATTCCTGACTCACAAGGTCTGGGATGGAGCCTGAAAATGTTCATTTCTAGAAAGTTTTGGCTTTGAAAAACAACTTCTCTAAACATTACTAAGAGACAACAAATACATCCAATACAGTTACAGTTATTTTGCTGCAGCTGGAACAAAACCAGCTTTGAAATCCCTTATGAATTTAACACTGAAATATATTTTCAAGTCCATTATGAATTTAACACTGAGCTATATTTTTGTATGTAAAGCCATCTAGCTTCCATTCTCAGGCTTTTTTAAAGTAGTTTTCAGTCCTTTTTAGTTAAACTTTTATCCAACGTTCATCTGGAATTGTAGTTAAAATTTCTCATTCATGGTGTTAACATGCAGTCTCTAAATTATAACTCCTTTTCTAATCATTAAAGCTAGGAAGAGATTCTTATAGGTCAGTAAGTCAAAAGATGAATGATTCACCATACAAAAATTTTTAAATGATGTAAATTGTTGTTCAACATTGATTCAATGAGTTATTTTAGGGACACAAGGAGAAGCATTCAGTGCATTCAACCTGTGTATGAATCACCACCTCTCTAGCTTCAACAAGTGGGTATCTTTGTCTTACTGTTGGGATGGTGGGCGGCCTTTAATGTTCCACCATTGATTAATCTATGAAGGGCCTTTGTCATGATAAGGAAGTCCCCATCTACTCCTACTAGTTTGAATTGTTGTAATTTTTCTGTATCATTTGAAATGCTTGTGTGTCCTTTCCCATTTGTTCTATTAATAGGGTATATTATGCAGATTTTCTTATGTTGATTCACCTTTAGATTCCTGGTATAAATCTTTTGCCATTAATCTACAGTTTTCTTGTGATAGTTTTACTGGCTTCACGTATCTGGGTAATGCTAGCTTCATAAAACATTGGAATGCTATTGATCCTTCTTTCCTTTTCCTGGACCCCCTAACTTGCCTTCCCTTCTCCTCCCCTCTCCTTCCCTTCCTTCCTCAGGCTGCTTCTTCTTTTACCTTCTCACCCTTGCTCTTCTGATCTTCTCTCCTACCTCCTACCTCTTTTCTCTCCTTTTCATCCCTCCTTTCCTCCTCCTCTTCCACTTCCTACACCCTTCTATTCACCTCCTCATTTCCTTTCCCACTCACTTCCTCTCCTCCTTCCCACCCAACCTTCCCCTCCTTCCCTCCTAGCACATTATGCCACCTCTTCTCCTCCTGCCTACCCACTCTTTCTTCTCTTCCAAGTTCCCCTCTTTCCTGCTCCTTCTCTCTTCTCCCCACTTCTCTCCTCCCCTCCTCCTCCCTCCCTCCTCCTCACCACCTACCTACACCTTCTGTTCTCTCTCCCACATCACTTTCCTTCCCCTCTTTCACCTCCTCTCTTCTCCATCCTCCTCAGCAACTCCTTCTCTCTTCCACCTTTTTTCTTTTCCCCAGTTCTTCTCCTCTCCCCTGCTTTTCTACATCCTCCCTTTTCTCCTCTTCCTTCAGCATCTCCTCTCTCCTCCTCTTTATCTCTCTTCCCCTCTTCTCTCTGCTTTCCCATTCTCTATTCCACCTCCCCTCTCTCTCTTACTCCCTTTTCCCTCCTTTGTCTCCCTTCCCTCTTTCCTCCCATCTCCCCTTCCCTTTTCTTCTTTCTCCCTCCTTGTCTCCTGCCCCATCCCCTCTCTTCCTTTTCCTCAACTTCTTCTCCTGTTCCTCCCCAACCATTCCACTCTGTTCTTTCCTTTCCCTTCCTTTCTCTTCTTCTACTTCCTCATCCTTTCCCCTCATCCTTTTCCCAATTCTTATCTTTCCCAGTCTCTCTTCCCTCACTCCTCCTTTCTTCCTCTTTACCTCCTCTCTATTTTCCCCTTCCCCATCTCTTTTCTCTTTTCTTTCTCTCCCCTCTCTCTCCCCTTCTCTTGTCACTTCTTCCCTCTCCCTCCTTCCCTCCCTCTCTCCTCCTACCTCCCATCATTCTCTTCCTCCCCCCTCCCCGCCTTCTGCTCCCCTCCTTCTCTACTCCTTTATTCTCCTTGCTTCCAGAGTCTGACATCCTGGGTTCAGTCCCTAGAATCTGTATGGTAGAAAGGCAGAGCTGACTTCTGAAAGTTTTTCTTTGACCTTAACATTCATGTGCAATGGCATACATATACCCACACATGTACACAAATAATAAATTAACAAATAAGCAAACATTAAAGAATTTTTTAGAAGCTATGGAGTTGAAAAAAGAGCAAGGGAGTACATGGCTTGAAGTGTTGGAGGGAGGAAGGAGAAAAGGAAAACAATATAGTTGTATTTTAATTTCAAAAAATTAAATGATATTTAAAAATAAAAAATAGCATATTTGATGAGCTGGAAGAAAGGAATAGAATGTGGAGAAAGGTGAGTATGTAAAGATTTAAAAGGAGTACACTGTATATAGGATGGATAGAAGTATAAGGATAGGAAGACATAATTCCAGTTCTTGGGAAGTTAAGGTAGGGAGATTGGGAGTTTAAGGGCATACTGGGTTCTATAGCAAGGCCAGGCTGAACTACACTGTAAAATTTTTGTCTCAAAACACAGACACACACCTTAACCAACCAAACAACAATACAGAAATCTAGTCATGCTAAAGATTCTGTATGTTATTTTATGCTTAGTGAAAAGTCACTGAAGAGTTCTAAGGCTGTGGTTGTTATGAACAAATTTGCAGTTAAAAAAAATCCTGGGGGCCAGGTGGGGGTGGTGCATGCCTTTAATGCCAGCACTCAGGAGGCAGGTGGATCTTGGAGTTACAGAGAAAGTTCCAAGACAGGGCTACAAAGACAAAACTTTGCCTTAAGACAAACGAACAAACAAACAACAACAAGTTACCTGGGCTGAAGAGATAGCTCAGAGGTTAAGAGCACTTGCTGCTCTTTCAGAAGACTGAAATTCCCAGCACCCAAGCTTCTCTCCCAATACAACTCCTGTTCCTAGGGATCTAACATCATCTGGCCTCCAAGAGGGGAGGGAACTGTACTTATATGCACAAAAATACATACACACATAACTAAAAATAAGAATAAAATATTTGAAAATTATCCTGGCTTCATGGGCTGGAGATGTAATTCAATTACTAGAGTGCCTGCCCAGTGTGTACAGAGTCTTGGGTTTGAGCCTCACCACCACATAAACTGGGTATGATGGTTCATACCTGGAATCCCAAAACGTAGGAGGTGGAAAGCAAAAATATCAGAATTTCCTAGTCATCCTTAGCTACATGCTCAGCATGTTCAATGCCAGTGTGGACTACACAAGATTCTGTCTCAAAAATAAATAACAAACATTAAAATGTTTAAACTAATTTTTAACATTAATTTGTTTTTGCCTTTACAGCCAAAGATAGATTAGAAAAAGGCAAAAGCAGATGCATGTGTATTTAATAACCATAGTATATGATGGGACTGGAGAGATGTCTCAGTGGTTAAGAGCACTTGCTGCCTTGCAGAGGACCTGGCTTCAGTTGTAAAAGCCATTTCATTGGAGAAAAGAGTGAGATACAATGATGTCAGACTATTTCCCGATGAAACATGGAAAGTAAAGTTACTAATAAATAACACTGTACATATAAGCTCAGTTCAGTTGTATGGGGTCAGGTTACCTTGGCTAAGCCTTAATTACCTCATCTGTAAGATGAGAGTGTGATAACATTGACATTATCGGCTACTTTTGGATAATTACATTTATCATAATAAAGCATTTAGCACATCACTAGCACATACCGAATGGTCAATGAATATTAAATGGTGTGTGTGTGTGTGCGTGTGTGTGTGTGTGTGTGTGTGTGTGTGTATAAGTGTGCATGTACAGGTGTGCATAATTGTGGAGGTCAAAGATGGATATCAAGTACCTTCCCCTGTCTTTTTTCACTGTATTCTTTTGAGACAGGGTCACTCACTGAACCGGAAGCTCACCAATTCAGTTAGACTGGCTGATCAGCTGGTTGTGGGGATCTTTCTGTTCTGGGATCACATGTGTACACCGTCATGCCTGGCTTTTATATACCTGCAGGGGATCTGAACTCAGGTCTTCATGCTTGCGTAGAAAACACTTCAAACTGATTCATCCTTCCAGCCCCCAAGTGTTTTTGGTACTGATAATGTGTGTAGACAGTAACCATGTGCCCAGCATTTTAATGCAATTCAATAGGGATTAGAGCTTTTTAGTTTACATAAGATTCAGCTTAATACAATGTGTATTTAAAACAAACCATCTTGTATAATGGGTCCACCTTGCAAAGAACTGAAGTCATTTAACTTATTTAATGACGGGGATCTCAAGATTTTATTGATTTAGCTTGCTATGATAACACCAGACATACGTTTTTATTGTGACAAAGTATCACTTCATTATTGATGTAAAACAAATGTAAGTAATAGGTTTACATTAGTACAGAAATGATAAGTTATCTAGGAGAATGACATGATGAATTATAATACTATAGGCAGAAGCAACAAAATCCCACTAGAAGAGGTTTAGGCTATAAGATGTCAGCTAATAAAGGAGGTTCCAGGATTGGCTAATTCAATCGTTTGGTGATGTCATTAGAGACCCAAATTCCTCCCATGTCTGCACCCTCCCTTTCTCAGTAGTCTCACTAACAATTTAGTAATTAGATCTAAGTTCAAGTTATGCACATAACATGATCATATATGTGTTTATCAAACTTCTATTAGTAGTTATCTCTGGAGCATTCCATCATAGGACAAACTTAACTTCTACTTTCTACATTTCTATAGTATTTAAATATTTTCAACAAAGCATGAACAATAGTTTTTATTATCCCCTTCTTCCCAGCCCCTCCCAAACACTATTCTTTCAGTCTTTATGGATTCTTACTATGTAGCCTAAGCTGGCTTTCGACTTGCAACCTTTCTG